TTGTTACACACAGACTTGTGCTCATTTGACTCAGGTCATTCCGATTTGCTGCCTGGATCTCTCTACTTACCATCACTAATACATCACAACCGGCAGCTGTCATTTGCCGGTGCGATCATGTCAATCAGCTACATACGCCTCAGAACATTCTCCTTTTGAAGCTGCCCAGCCTCAGTTCTCTGGCTGCCCGTTATGACGATATTGATTTGAGAACCCCTAAAGCCAGGTTTGCTGCAGAATCATAATGTTTAAATATATCCCTTCTTTTTTTCATTTTGCGAATCTGAAAACAGAATAAGCCCGGATTTGATAGCAGGGTTGCCAACTCTCACGTATCTGGCGTGACAGTCGCGCTTTCAGAGTCTCACGCTCACGTAAGAAATCTTTCGGCAAATGTACGTTATTCCGTTATAAAATTAGCTACATCAAAAGCGTCGGGGTAGTTTGCAAACACTACAAACTATTTACAAGGTAATTAAACTGTTACGTGCATGTAAATGCATATGCATGTGTGTGCAGACTTGTCTCGAATTGAAAATGCCAGCAAGCTGATCAAAGTTGGCCATCCCAGTGATAGTCGGAATTACCTTCAGCCTATCTGACTTTGCCAGACTTTACCACTGGGCTCTTGAATAAGACACTTAATTCCCAATTGCTCCGGGGACTGGCTGACCCTGCCTTCCCAGTTGTACATTTCTTGGGGAAAAAAGCATTTGTTAAATAACTGAAATGCAAATGTTTTGCATGAGACTAACCATGGAGGTGCACGCGTCTGTGAGACAGCATATAGAGGGGGACACAGAATGGAGGAAAACCCGGAGGAAGAGGAGACCTTCGTTACCAGCCCAAGGTCAGAAATGCTCCTGTGTGTATCACTTGCATGAGCTGATTTTGAGGACCTCCAAGGTCCCCACCTGGCAGGTGACCCTCATGGGTGCTGATGACTGAATGGAATGCGTATCCTTCTAGGGCATGTTCTGCCTTCATTCCGACCTCAAATGTTTGCTGCCTCTATATCCCATTTGTTTCCCCAGATTCATATTCATAAGCATAACCTGACTGGTGAAATATGCAAGGTCAAATCACAGAGTAAATGGTTTTTTTTTTTTTTCACCTTATTAAAATAACTTAATTGTGTCATTGCTTTTTTTGTATTATTTGCTTAAAATTGTGGCAGGTTGCAGAGCCTGATACTCAAGGGCAGGACGGACAGCAAGGGTGAACTGTCAGGGAGTGACAGAAAAACACGGAATGGGGTTAAGGACCTTCTACCAAGAACAAATGCAGTGCAAAGATTTAATGAAAAACTGAAATTCAAAGAAACATGTCATCAACTCCTCTTTCCAGCCCTGATGTCACAATATCTCTCCCAGAGTGTGCATCATTTGCACGAGAATGTGTTTTCCCACGTATCCCATCATGCTCTTCTTTTGTAACACACACACAGAGGTGAGATTGAAACCTGGGGCCTGAGCACCACTTCAGCCATCCATCCAGCCCCCCAGAGCATTTGTCAGAGCGGTTAAGTGTCTTGCTCAAGAACCTAGTGGAAATGTGGCTACTCTTCCAAGCATGGGACTCAAACTAGCAACCTTCTGTTCACAAGCAAAGAAGCCTAACCTGCAGAGCCACACACTGCCCATAAAAACATATTCCAAGTGGTTAATTTTGTTAATTGTGAGGTGAACCATGATTGTCACTTATAGAACTGAGGCATTAAAGCGATACGATGTGATGCACACAAGGTACCACATACTAAAATTCAGATTAAGGCAATCTTTTATTTAATGATATCTACATGTGTTTTTGCCAAAAAAAAAAAAACAAAAAAAAATACATTTACATTATATTGGATATATTGAGATACGAGCTTAAAATGTTTCATATTTAAATGTGGAGAGCACAGCTAGCAAGAATGAAAGTACACAGAAATGCATGAAAAATATTAAGCGCATATGTCATGTTTAGATCATTAAACAACTGTACGATCGTCAGAGATTATGTACTGATTCTGTATTAGTGCTATCTGCTCATAAGTCATATTTTGTGGTGATTTTTTTACTAGAATTTTCCATCCGTGAGTCACACGTAGAACATTAAACATGGGTGATACCTTTCCTCATTTTCTACACTTCATCTGCACATTTTTCCAGAGAAATACAACGGCTGCAATCAGGGGCGGATTAAGGTGTACGGAGGCCCCTAGGCTACAGTAGTCTGTGGGCCCCCCAACCCAGCCCCGCTCCGCGCCAATGGGGGCCCCCTTGCAGGCTGGCACACGTGGGGCCCCTAGGCTTAAGCCATATCTAGCCTGTGCGTTAATCCGCCCCTGGCTGCAATAATGTAGCAGGTCCCTGACTAACGTATGACACGGAGCGTGGAGGAACGTCTCTGTCGCCTCTTCTCGAAGGGTGGGAATGCACCTGGAAACAGGAACGGCCCAGACCGTGTGTGAGACTCACCACCAGGGCCATTTAGGCAAACTTAATGTCATGAAAAACTAAAAATGAATGTACACACAGTGATCAAAACAACTGCACATGTGACCAAAAGCCAGCCAATAGAAATCTCAGGATTTCTAACGCTACTATAACTGCTACTACATATTCATGCTGCTATGGGACACTGAAGCCAACTTATGGGGAACTAAAAATGAATGTCCACAGAGTGATTTAAAAATGGACATGTGACCAAAACTAGCCAATAGAAATCCCAGCACTGCTAATCCTAGTACAGTATAAGCACTATCATACTATAATAATGCTACTACTGATGCAGTTATCAGTGAATATCCCATTGTTTAAAGGTATATAAGAATAACTTATTCATTGTACTTTAAAAATATTAGCTGTATTCTGCTTGTGCATTAATCATTTTCCAGAGACAGAGGACCCACAAACCGCTGGGCCTCACAAACGTTTTTTGGACGTATCTCCTGACCTTGCCGAGCATTGAGATGGACTCCATGACGTGCCCCGCCATTACACGCAAGGTCACCGCCCCATGCAGGGTAGAGTGTGGAGTACAGCCGCGATGAAATGTACACAGGTGGCCTATTTGCGAGGGCGACATCACTCACACGCCTTGGTGCAGGCCCGGTCGCTGACAACGCAGGAGGAAGCGGCTGTATCACTGTGCTATCGCTGCCATTAGCCTGCAGAACACTTTGTTATCAAGATAATTAATGTGCTTGTCACCTTTTTACACAGAATGGGATATTTATGGCATACAATGTTGATTTATGGCTATTTGTGGGACATGATATCGATAAGGGGCACTTAAAAAGATATCAGTTAGATAAGTAGTAGCCCTAATTTTCTGTTAATAACTGGCACCTAATAACCGGAAGTTAACAGAGCGCGATTACAGGCGTCGAAAGTGTGACCCAGACGGAGCAACTGGAAACCTACGAACGAGACTCTGAAGAGAGCGACGACATTTGAGACGACGGCCATTTGAAGTTTGAGAGAGCTTCTGTCGAGAGGTAAACACTGGCTTCTGCCAGTGACGCGTCATCTCATCAACTCCAGGACGGTGCTGTTTTTATGTCAGGAACACAATTATTCAAGAGTATGTTATTTACATCCCTGTAAAAAAATATTAAGAATAATAAACAGAAAAAAAAACCACTGGACACTGTTTTCAAACGGAAAGCTACTGGAAGGGTACTAATTAAACTACGGCCTGTGCAAAAGCAGAGGTTTCAAAGGCCCATGTTGTCACAGCAGAGTGAGTCAGAGGACCTAGACCCAGAAATTCCAAATACAAAATAAAAAGAAAACACCAAAGTGAAAGCTGAACATTTTTAAGAAATTTTTGAGGGGAGGATGTCCTGATCACTCCTCTTTCCAGCGAGCTTTAAAAGCCCAGTAAACCACACTGGTTGTGTGTAAACAGTGCCCAGAATTCCCCTTTCAGCCCTAGTTTACCCAAAGTGCCCCGTTTGACACCCAAATTGGAGGCTTTTCCACAGATAATGATCACGAGCTCTCATTTCATCAAAACGATGCTGAGAACCTTCTAACCCTGAAAATATTTAGTGTAAAAAAAAAAACAATCAATATCTTTGATCCTTAACTTGCTTTTCTCCATTATCACCACATTAATAAAGTATTTCCAAGGTGTCCTATATTTATAAATTACAAAGTAGCACTTTGTCATGCAATTGTAACTATTATATTTACATTAATCTTAACAACCACTTTAAAATTAACAGCAAAATGTGATAGAAGCTGAAATCCTGTGATATTAGTTACTTCAGTAATGTTTGCCAGCTGTTTGTCAATATGAAATGAAGCTGTACTTGTATAAGAACATATCTGATCTTGCTCTCAGGCTTGGGCTCAGCCAGCGCCCATACAGTACATTTAAGGGGGTAAACGACTTTTCTCAATGCTCAACACTGATGAGGCTATTGTACTGAGCGCAGGATTCAAACCACAGACCATCAGATCACAGGCCAAACCCATAGAGCCACATCACCCACGTGGCACAATAAGCAGTGCAGAGATGAACGTGGTTTTTGAACCGTCTCTCCATGTCCCCATGACTGTCTGGTGATATCAGACAGGGGCTCTTCACTCCTGACCCTAAACAGGGGAGTCAGACTGTACCAGAGCTGTGCTGGGCGGCTCGGTTATCAGGAGAGCTCGCTGACTGGTATTCGGATCGACCCCAACATCGGAGGCCTGCACGTGTGAGCCTGGGCGCCCAGCTCCGCTTGTAAAGTATGATTTATCGTCGGTGGAAATTATAACCTTAATCAAGCTTCCATTAATTACCCCCAGATCTATTAACATTTTATAAATATTTCACAGGTGAGAGTTAGCTGCCTGTTTATTTCATCTCTATCAAATATTAAGCATTTAATTACCTTTTCAGGATGATTAATAGAGCAGTAATTAGCTCCCAGTAATCATGCAGGGCTATCTGCAGGCTTGCTAATTGAACACAGATGCGTCCCTCTGACTTCTGGGCTGTAAAGGAGAGCGAATGAACTCGCTGGGGCAAGAAGGGGGGTGTCTACTGGGGGGCAGCTGTGGCCGTTTGGAGGATCGTAGCCCCTATCAGAGATGACTAGCTTTTTGTTTTTAGCGTGCAGGTGTGGGGGCCTTGGTCTGACATCAGCGTGGCTGTTCCCTTCGACACCGTCCAGCACTGAGCGTGTCAGCGGGTAACTTTCTGTCCTAGTGGACCTTAAACTGAGATTCCTATTAACCTGACTGTGAGGCATCACCGCAAGGCATCAACTGATTTTAATGTTTTTCTGGCATGACTGAGTACATTTACATTTATTCATTTAGTAGACTTCTTTTATCCAAAGTGTCATGCAGTTCAGAAAGCAGAGTCAGCCAGTCCCTGGAAAGACTGGGGGCCCTTGCTCAGTTGGGCCCTTGCTCAGGGGCCCGACTGTGACATCACTCTGCCAACTTAACTCACTAAGCCAGATACTAATGTAATGTTTTATGCTTTTTATTTGATTTTTACTTTTTTTTTTTAAGTGACTTTGAGTGGGGGCTCGGGAACCTCAACCCCTCCCCTGGATGATGTAACACGACGCTGCCTCGCATGATGTAACACGACGCTGCCTCGCATGATGTAACACGACGCTGCCTCGCATGATGTAACACGACGCTGCCTCGCATGATGTAACACGACGCTACCTTGCATGATGTAACACGACGCTGCCTTGCATGATGTAACACGACGCCTTTATAAAATGACATTCTTAATGGACAGAGTTGATTCTTAATTTTGACGTTATGTTAATACTTGAAACACTCATATTGTCATTCATAGGAACTGGATGCATCACCCAAAGGGATTTAAGTAGCTTTAGTGGAGGGTTTCCACATGAAAAATCGGCTTTAGTGTCACTTATTCATTGCACAGTAAGTGAATTTTAATTTAAAGCTTAATTCTCACTTTAATGTAGACATATGATGTCTGCTTCAGGAGTTATGGGGGAATGAAGAGTTTTAATAACTAAATGTATTATAAATTCATAGGTGTTTAAATTTTTACACCTAAGCATTTAAAATGTTTCCAACTCGTTTTTGCTCTTTCTCTTTCTTAATAAAGAGTGATTAACTCATCGCTATGCAGAGGAATGATTGGTCACTGATGTAAGCTGCGGTTTAAAACGATATTATGAATGATACATCAGTCATTTAATGTAAACCTTTCTTCCTGAAATTGCTTTACCATCCTGTCTGATGTCTTCCACACTGAAAGAAACCCTGGTCATTGGTGGCCCCTCATCATCCCAGATTGGGCTCATGCCACATTTTGATTTTTCAGATGTCATTGGATCTGTGAAAAATAACCACGCACAGACCCTATAAAACATTTAACAGGACACAAGGAGAACATGTAATCCCCAAACACACAGCAGGGGCCGTGTTCAAACCCCCAGCCCAGGAGATGGGAGACAATAGGCCTGCAATTTTTCAAATTAAAAGTGCTGATTGAATCACCCTAACTTTATTTGTTTCATTTTTGCATGTCAAGTCTATATTATTAGAATATTTCACACCAGATTTAATTAGGTTTAAGCAATATTCCAGTTATCTGTTTGTTCAGCTGATATGAATTATTAAGCAGCATAAACAATGAAGCCGCTCATTTACCCATCAAGTACAAAATGTTTCTTTAAAATTTAGTTTCATTGGCTTGTTTCATGAGTCCACCCACCGTAACATGAACAAAAACAATTCGGAAATATAAAAGCATATTTCCCAAAGTAACCACATAATCAGCAATTCTGTCTTGCCTGATCAGTTATGAGTTCAACTGGAAAAAACACTTCTCCTCCAGTTCTGCAACTGAGGACCATGGATGCTGATGCGGTTTTATGGGAAACAGGACTTTTTTTCATGATTGAAGCACTAAAATTACATATAACGGGAAATTTCAACAAGGGCTCAATCAAAGTTTCTCCTGAGGAATTAACGGCATGATTGTTCCTTTTATTTTTGTTTACGTTTCCAGATAGTGAATGCATTACTTTTTGTGGGGGTTGCTGATGGCATGAGGGCGTGGAAGCAGCAGCTCCCCGATTTAATTTTCAGTTTTATCCCATTGGCCTGTTTGACCGCCTTCCTGCCAATAATATCACCCCCTGCTGGAGATACAGTGGAAGTACAACACTGCCTCTTTCATCACCCAGAGGTGAACCGATCCTGGCATCCATCATTATTTTTTCAACTTCATCTTCATCCATGCGTTCTTTGCAATGAGCCACAGCTGGGGGTGTGTGTGTGGGGGTGGGGGTGGGGGGGGGGGGGGGGGGGGGGGGGGGGCCCTCGCGAACGTTTTGCCCAGGGGCCCACACAACCCATAGTGGGTTGCTGCCCTGACCAGCAGAGCTCCACCCACCTGCACTGGGCATATGGTCCCCTGGCAACCCTGGGGAAAAGGTGCATGCACATAAACAGTGTTGCCATGGAGACCCACACGGATGAAGGAACAGCAGGGTTGCCATAGAGATACAATACGTGCCTATATATTTACAGTATATAAACAGCAGTGGTGCCTGCAGATGCTCCACAGACGTACAGTGCAGTTGTGTCAGGACTATAACAGCGGATAGGAGATTCACACACTGCTGGGTATTTCGCGGGGGTGTTCAAACAGGGCCGGGCCTGTTAAAGCCCACTTGCGCCCCCCCTGGCTGCACCTCGCTCGCTGACACAAGCCAGCCCATACTCTGAGAAGCCCCCCGATAGCATCTACCGCAGCTAATGGATGGCAGGGTGAGGGAGGAGACGCGGGACACAGTCAGGCCTGCTGTTTATAGTGTTTGACATGGCAGGTCCTCTGTAAACCGCAGTATCGAGCGTCCGTGCCCAGCCACACCGTGGGAGACAGACTCCCCAGCCGATATGGCAGCAGAGGAGCGGCGGCGTTTAATAATGCAAGGCCCGGGGCAATCCGGAGGCGCCAAGTGGATGCATCTGACCCACTAGCTTAAGAGTAGCGCCGCTTAGCATAGAACAGCTATCGGTTTGCTTGCTAAATGCAGAGGAGTCCCCAAGACTGCTAGGGGAATGGTGTGTGGTTCATCGGACTAGCACTCTGTGACTGTGAGTGGAAGGTCACGGGTTCAAATCCTAGGCTTGCCAGACTAGTCACATCACACTTTTGCAGAGGCGATATTCCGGGAGGGTTGCGTGATGATTGTCTGAGCCTGTCCTCAGACTCCAAGTGTGTGTTTGTCTCTTAAAGTAGAGTATGATGGGATATGTGAAAAACTAACACATTCTAGTGTACCTGTACTGCAAATAAAGTGTCACCTCATTTTAGGCTACAGCAGAGTCACTTTCAGGTTACTTACAGAGATTAGCTGGAATGGCTTTCAGTCAGACTGAGGGACGTTGCCAGTCTGCTTGGGGCAACCAAGGTTTCTTTTACCTTCCCTTTTAAGTGCCAGGCATTTAATTTGAGGGGCATGTAAAACTGACATGTTGTTCAAGGATTGCTAATCAACCTCAGATCTGTCAGGTTTAATGTAAGCAGGGCGGGGGCCTCACTGCCAGCGAGGAGGAGTGAGTCTCCCGGCCATTTCACTGGATGCCAAGGACATCAAAGTCATTCCAGCAGCCTCATAGCTGGCTTCATTTTCCCTTTCCGGATCAATCCGTAGCTTCGGAGTTTGCCGCTAATTGACTGCGCCGTACAGACAGGATCACAGTTATTAGTAAACCTGGGAGAGAACTCACTGGAGACAAGGCCAGGGTTCTTTAAGTTATTAATTAAGGGCATTAAAAATAACAAGACAGCATGTCTTACATTCTTATATGGCACAAAATGTCAGACATACATTTGTTGATTGCATGTTTGCTATTTGCAATAAATAGTAGTGGATTATTTGCTTCAGCTGAGAGCATGGAGTGTGTGTGTGTGTGTGTGTATGTGTTTGTGTGCGTGTGGATAAAGTTTATATTTCATTGTGGGGACCAAAGCTAAAAATCTAAAAATGCCAGACATCCTGTATTTTGCTTGGTTACGTATGGTTAAGGTTAGGGCTGGGTAGGGGTTAAGGTCTTCATGTTGTGATTAGAAATGAATGGCGAGTCCCCACAAAGAAATAATTGCAAACCTGTGTGTGTATATATGTGTGTGTGGTGGTGGTGGTGGTGGTGGTGGTGGGGGCGGGGGGTTATGTATATATTACATTGTGGAAACCAAATGTCCCCCTATTTTGACATTGTGGGGACACATAATCTGTGTGTATGTTATAGGTGGCATATTTATGTTTCATATAAAATCTGAAGTCGCTTTGAGAATTCTTTGATGCATCAGAATCCTTTTTTTTTCCACTGACTCCTGTTGCTTTTTTTATTCAGGAATAAATTAATCTTTGGTGTCTTTTTATGGGCTGTGATAAAAGTGAAGAGTAGCCCTACTAAAGCCTTTACTTAATGTCAGAATGTGAAATATATATTATGTTTAACTGTTGTTCTGCTCAGACACACAGTTGTCTGAGGTGTTTTACCCAATGCGGTTGTCATGCAAGCTGCCTGTGTGTGTGTGTGTGTGTGTGTGTGTGTGTGTGTGTGTGTGTGGGTGTGTGGGTGTGTGTTCATTTCCTGTTTACAGCGGAGAACAAGCCGCTGATCCTGAACCTAAGTGGATCTGACAGCTACCGCTCACGTCAGACCTGAGCCATCTCCGATTCTCTCCTAGGCACAGGTGATAATTGGCAGAGGCGCATATAATGCGCCGAATCTTCTATGAGCGCAAAATGCTAAACAGCCCATAGGGCTGAAATCCTGACTTCCTTCTCAAACTCTGGAAAACGAGACACACACCGGTGGCAATTACACAAGTGACCCGGCGTCTCTAGAATGGAGGAAAGCGTTAAATCCTTCCTGCTATTGTCAGGAAACATCACCGTCAGCTGCCCGTGCTGCGTTCCCCGGGTATGACCTACAGGTCGGGGTTGGCATGCCAGCGGCATGTTTCAGAGCACAAATGTGAATGTTTTCTGTGTAGGTGAAAAAAAAGGGAGATGGAAAAAAGATCAAAAAACACAAAAGGAGGTTAAGGTTACAGGTGACAGTGCAGGAGACTCTGCCTTACATGGTAATGCACTGATTCCATACTAATGACATCAAAGTAAGATGGATGGATGGATAGATGGATGGATGGATGGATGGATGGAAGATTATGTGTACATCACAGTAAGGAAAACTGTGTAGTGGCAATTACTTGGCTTTAGATAGATAGATAGATAGATAGATAGATAGATAGATAGATAGATAGATACTTCATTAACCCTGATGGAAACTTCAGGGTTCAATTAGACTGGTGGACTCAGGCCTATCATCCTGTCGGAGTGCGAGTGTGAGATATCTCACCACGCTTCCCATGGGGGGTGGCGTCTGAACCTTGTGGTCCCACTCAGGGTGACCCAGGTCCGGCCCTCGGGTGAGAAGGCGGTTCGGTGCCGTGCTGGGTGGCCGTCCTCTCCCACTTCCTCGACCTCGTTAAATTATGCAGCCGGTCTGGCGTCTTCTCAGACCCCCGAATCTCCCCCCCGGCCTCACGCAGCCACTTCAAATGGCCTTTTTTTTTTTTACCCAAAAGGCTGTGCGCTGAATCCCCGCCGGAGGTACCTGGAGAGAGGAGGCTGCACGGAAGCGAAAAGCAGCCGGGGAGGGAATGGAATGAGCAGGCAGGGGCTGGGAATGTGGTTTGCCTTTACTTAAAAAAGTTTGCATGACTTCCATTTG